ACAAAAACATCTACTGTAAAAGAAAAGTAACCCAGAAAACCACTGAACAAATTGTTAATAAGCTAAAGAAGCGAATTAGCATTTCATGGATATGGAATGAATAGTCAAAATATTTTAAAAGCGCTGTGATGTCGGTGTGTATTTCCAGAGTACATACCCATATGTTACTAACGTTTGTCAAACGCTCGGCAAATGAACAGAACACGCGATCGCATACGTACTACGAATTATTCTATCATCTTCTATAAATTGAATCCAGGATGTTTTTAAAGTGCAACAATGTCAGGTTTATATGATTGAACGTAGCTTGATTTCGTATACGTGTTACTGTACGCTGCTTGCTTCAATTTATGTGTCTATTGTTGTTAATGGATTATTGGGGATACGCCTTATATAGTGATTCAAATGTATGTCTCATTTTTGGTGCCAAATAGTTTTGACAGTCGAAATACTGAATGCTAAATATTCAGTGGACACCAAAACAGGAGTACTATCTATAATCTAAAAAACTTTGAACCCCTTTTTACGAAAATTGCGCGGACGGAGGAGTATGAAATTTTCCACACTTATAGAGAATATAGAGAAGAAGTGCATAATGCTAATATCTTTTTAAAATAATGCAAAAAAGATACATTAAATCAATAAAGAAAACCTTACACACACTACATACCATGTATCTGACGCACACACGCATGCATACTATTTATTGTCAAACTTTTGTTCTTGACGTCTGTTGTCAAATTGAGAATAGATTAAATATTTTTTGTCTTTGTTAATATTTTTTATAATGTAGTCTTGGCGAAATTTGTGATTATAGAAGTATAAAATACAATCATAATAGTGTACAAACTTGCAATTCCAAATAATTATAGTCGAATTTCGACTACTGCGGGACCTCTAGTTCTGATTATTGTGGATCGACTAAAAATAATTATTGAAACGTATAATAATTAAAATTACTTTTCCAGCCTAATCTCGCTTCTTTATTGTCATTATAATAGATCCTTTACCTTAGGTATAATAAATAGGTCTTTTATAAAGTTTCAGTTTTACAATACTGACAATTTGGAACGTAATGTATGTATCTGAAAGATACTTTAAAAAAATTACTTTATATTTCGGCATACTAAACGGCAATTTCGTAGGTAAAGACCTAATATTATTTCCGACTCAACGAATACTTAAAAGTTTTACGGACAACACTATCGTGAACGCGTGACATACCTGGACCTTAAAAGTAATTTCTTAACCTGGAGAGACTCGTGGTGACGGGCAAAGTGGATGGAAAACGATCCAGAGGTCGGAGTAGAAAAAGACGGAGTGACCAAGTGTCCGAGTATCTGGACATGAGACTCACGCACTTCACTGTGCCACTGACAGACAAAAGTGGCTACAAATTATAAAAAAAGGCCACAGGCGGGCGCATCACGATGCTCAGCAATGAGCGATCGACTGAAGGAGGAAAAGTAACTTCAACAAATCTACGACTCGCCAATACCGAAGGAAATACTGAACGAATGCTACCCAATGAAAAGCAGGTCCACTAGATTATTAGTAAATTTAACAATCCACAACCAAAATTGCGTTCGTCCTAAACGACGGGGAACTGCGCATTTTAAGCCATTATCATGCACCAACTCGCCTCGCACAACAAAAGGTTATCAAAGACGTATTGTGATCAATTGTTATTCCATCCTTTCAAGTCCAATCGGCTTCTTCAACCGCGATTTGCATTGTCCTTTGGAGTTAAATGATCTGATCGTTTTCTACACGTCGAGCGCTTGCTCTAACGTCACCAACAAGCATACCTTTACATAACCTATTTAAGTTTCATTTACTTCGTATTGCTTTACGAAACATATTAATTATGACTAGCCCCTTATGCGCAGTAGATGTTAGTCTTATATGACTATTATTAACAAAATTATATACAACAAATAATTAGAATTAAATAGAAATAATTAGATAGAATGTCGATCCACATGGTGCTACATTTAAATACATATATATATTTTTAAAGTAAATTTGTACAGCGCCGTTGAAATTAATTATGACCATAATCATGTTAAAATCAGATAGATCATTGTAATATATAAACATATGCTACTTTTAAAGCAATTAAATTTAATAAACACTAAAACATGATTGATGACGTTGCCGGCTACGTAGTGCGATGACCTTCAAAGGGTGCCCGCCAAGAGATGGATGGGGAGACCCGAATACCGGGCCCAATGGTGTGGATTGTGAGAGGCCTATGTCCAGCAGTGGGCGACTGTGGGCTGGTGATAGTGACGATGATGATTTTGCCACACTTCGAATATCGAACAAAATCGATTTTTTCTCTACATATTCGCTGGTAGCTTACGAGGCTATTCCAGCTACGCCCGGACGTGTAGGTGAGCTCTCGGGGCTCTAAACGGGAGGCATTGCTAATACTAGCCCTTGCAAGAGCAGTGCTTCGTAGCATTTACCTCCGGATCGGAAGAGAACTGAGAAGATTCGGCGAGAAACTCAGTGGGCTGTATCTATAGACTAGTTTACTCGCCGAACCCTTTGTCCCATGCGACGGGTTCGACTACATTCATTGACTGTTATGCGGTACGAAGCTCGACGGGTCAGCTAGTTTAATATAAAATACGCATCTAGAATAAAATTGTTACATAGATGATTCACAATTTGAAAATCATGTCACAATTGACGCCGGTATTGATTCTGGGTATTCTTTTAATCGCCGTCAAGGAATGTTTTGGATTAAATTATGGAACAAAGCTTAATAAAGCTGAGACTTTGGCCTGAAGTTTTAAAATCGATAGTAGCATTACGTGACGGGTTCTGAGGTCTATCAACAGCAGATGGTCCATGACTACTACCAACCTTCTAATGCAATCGCAAAAACTGATTAGATCACTCGTGATCAGACTTTTCACGTAAGTTTTTACTTGAGGGGTCTTGCATAATTGAGAAGATCAAACCCGGCCTTGAAAAATCGAGTGAAATGAACGAGTTAACACCGGACGGTAGTTTTTGTCGTATATAATAAGGTACCTAATACAGACGTCCGGTTGTATTAGATTAAAGTGTCGTGCGCGACTATTCGCCCACTTCACTTGACCATCGTTACGAATCTTACGGTAGTATTAATGGTCATATAAATATGAAATATCTACGGTAGACATTTCTTTAGAGATGCGATTTGTGTTCGTCACCTTTCCAGCTTCATCGAGAAGGATGGACGAAGTGAAATACTAACTGTTCTATTTGTAAAACAGAAGATTGCCAGAAAGGAATGTACTCAACAAAAAAAAACTTAATTGCTAATTTTTTCAGGAGTTTTTTTTTTTTCGTTTGTCTGATGAAGCGAACGAGATTACATTTGATGGATTTTAGTTAATTCGGTGAAAAAAAAAATGGCAATTTAAAACGAGGACGCCATATTTGTTTCATAATCAAGAACCGTGCATGTTATAAAATGTTATTGCTTAATAGCATTCGACCGAAATGTCCAAATTGAAATTTTACTCTTTGTATAGGTATATACTATGTATAATGTAGTGTAAACACTTCCTTGGTAGGTAATAATGAATTTATATTTTCGTCAAGTGCTTTGTTACTTCGGCAAGTAGTATTACTGGTGGTAGGACCTCTTGTGAGTCCGCGCGGGTAGGTACCACCGCCCTGCCTTTTTCTGCCGTGAAACAGTAATGCGTTTCGGTTTGAAGGGTGGGGCAGCCGTTGTAACTATACTGAGACCTTAGAACTTATATCTCAAAGTGGGTGGCGCATTTACGTTGTAGATGTCTATGGGCTCCAGTAACCACTTAACACCAGGTAGACTGTGAGCTAGTCCATCCATCTAAGCAATAAAAAAATAACTCATGATCGGGCATAGAAAAGCCCTGTCGTCTTACTATACCAGACACAGGCACTCCACTCCCCTCTCTTCCTCTCTGAAGGCGCAAGAGTCCGACATAACCCGGTCAGTTACCCCCCGCGGCCGGGTACCCGTAAATGGATTCCCCAGCATTAAAAAAAAAGGCTACTCTGCTCGCAAATCACGGTGTAGAGCTGGCCTCAAACGAATACGATACGAACCCGGACTAACTTTACGTGAAGACACTTATGGAGCTATCCAGGATGACCTCAAGATAATTGACTTTCTTGGCCCAGAATATCAACTGGCCGAAAATGATTTGAAGCAGTATTTTGTATGCCAATCTGAATACATATTATATGTATAAAAATAAACGACTATATATGTTTCTTATAGTGAATTCAAAGAATAAATGTGTTAAAAAAAGAAAATGATTTAATCGCATTTCCGATAGAGACAGTCGAAAAATAAAATTTTGTTACCAATCTTATCAACTCGCATAATGTTAATTCGTTTGAATCTCTAAACGTAGTGGGAGAACGTATTTAATTTTATTGTATCCGAAGTAATCATTGAACATTAATTAAACGTTACATTACTCGCACCTAATTTAAAGATACACAATTTTTAAATGTTTCTCCATTACATAAAGATGTGTAGTTAAGGCGAAGTATGATATAGCAAGTTTTTTAAATCAAAATTATTACATTATAAGTATATATAGATACTAACTACAATCCGGTCATAGTCCATATAATATTTAGATTAGGCGTTGTCTCAAAATAAAGTTTCGATTTTCGGCGCCTATTTCCACGATCTGTCTAACGCGCGTCGAACGCATATCGTGACGTCACAGCGTAAACAAAACTCACTCAATCAATGAACGGGAGATCGAAAAAATCTAAAACTAAAACGCGTTGTAAAACGTTCAATTTATGCCCGTGGTCAAACCGAGCGGTACATATAAATAATTGTCCGTACATCGTATTTCCCTTGCGCCGGATGCTTTCAATTTGATCGTTGTGGCACGGCGCAAGCCCGACCGCCACATTACACCAAAGGACGCAGCCAAGTGATAACCGCGGATATGTTTTATCGATAAATTACGAATTTCAGTACAAATTAAGAATTAAAAAAAAAACAAAAAAAAAACTTAACTTTTCAAAATAGAGAAAAAACAATCGAAAATGGAACGCGTGTTTCGAAAATGAAAATTTATTATTAGGAAACATCGATTCGTTCTTTTTTGTTCTTGCTTATTTATACTTTTTTTTTTAAATACGTGGTATCACTGACATGTGATACCAAGTGCAAGCAGCCACAACGGAGACAGATAAGATACAAACCAAGCGGCCGAAACGGAAGAGAATATCCGACATGAGGTGAGGAAGCCATCAATGTATTAAAGCAAATATGAAAAGCTGTAAAAAGCGGGACGTCACCTACTAAGCTTATAGGGTTAACACAACAATTTCATATTTGCACATTTTTAACTTTCATTGCTTTTATTCCACAATATCCGATGTCCAATAATATTAATGACTAGCGACCCGCCCTCGCTTCGCTTCGGAAACATTAAATTTTATTATTGATAGCTGAGTCCCGCGATGTTATGTCCCGTCGTACCGCGGGTGACGCCACGGGGCGAAGCTAGTCTAAAAAAAGTAAAGCCTAAGTTCTTTACTCTTTATATCATCATCAGCTACCTATCAGTGAAAGTCCCGTCAAAGTTGGTCCAGCCGTTCCAGAGATTAGCCGGAACAAACAGACAGACAAAAATTGTAAAAAATGCTATTTTGGTGTATGTATTTAAATGCATGTAGTAAAAAGCGGTTATTTCAATATTACAAACAGACACTCCAATTTTTTTATATGTATAGATTACCGCTTGCCTATTAACGCTAAAGTTCAGAAAGTACTAAAAAGAACAAAGTTCAAATCGAAAACTTTCACTGAAAATATATATTTTGGCCTCCATGACATGTAAAAATGATTCGTTCTTCGCAAAAATGTAAATATCTGATTGTACTTCTGTAATAACCCATAGTACTTTCTTCACATTTATTTTATGTTTCGAAGTGGATAGCTGCAGAAACTTGACCAAATCAAAGAGCTACGGCCTTCTTCCAATTAGGCGAAGTGATAGCTCTGTCTGAATTGATATGGTTTTCACTGCTATTGCTTTTATTATCTAAGTACAAGCTGACCTTTAGACATATTTTGCATTAATGCTCATGCTTTATTAGTATACGCTGTTGTACTATACAAACCTTAATACAAGATTACTTCACGGCAAATATAGACACAATTTTGATAAAATCTGAGCTCACAACATAATGTTATGGATTTAAGAATTTAGGAAAATCAATGAGAGCACTGTCATTGCAAACGGAAATTGTGAACGTAGCTCAGAAATCGCACAACGGTAATCATGGCGTCTACAGATAACACTTTTTTTTTTTTTTTTTTTTTTTTTTTTTTTTTTTTTTTTTTTTTTTTTTTTTTTTTTTTTTTTTTTTTTTTTTTTTTTTTTTTTTTTTTTTTTTTTTTTTTTTTTTTTTTTTTTTTTTTTTTTTTT